CTCAGCTGCGATGAGATGCTGCTCGAGGAGGTGAACAGTGAGGGAGGTGGGGCCAAGGGAGAGAAAGTGGTCCCTGATTGAGCGAAGAGAGTCAGGGAGGCGAGAGACTATGAAGTAGAGGGTGATGAACATGGGGAGCTAGTTCGTGGCAAGGAACTCAGCAGGGACGGTAGCGCGGTAGCGAGCGTCGCTAGTGCGCAAGTGGGTAACCAGGTCCGCTACTGTGGAAAAAGTCGACAGCTCAGGGATCAGGTAGGGCAGTAGCAGTCTGCCTAGAGCAGCAGTGGCAGGGGAGGAGTAGCGAGCAACTACAGCGTCGTACAGGGCATGTGTTGTCCAAAGTGAGTACATTCAGCCACCGGTAGGTGGTTGCGAATGGCTAAGCGGGCAGTAGCGTCACGAGAAAGCCACTGGGAATGAGTCGCACCGTCAGCTGTGGCGGGAGGGGCTGGAGCAACACCGGACACGTGGTCAAACTGCGAGACACTGTCCTTAATATCGCTCAGTAGGTACAGTTGCAGATCGTCGTGCCATGTGTCAAATGCAACCAGTCTGCCCTCATGATCGAACGCTAGGACTCGAAGCGAAGCCATTGTGGGGCAGTACGCAGGAGCAGCAGTAGCAGCAGGACCAGTAGCAGTAGCAGGAGCAGTGGCCAAGGGGCCAAGGGGCGGGGCCGAGGTGCCTAGGGGCCGAGGGGCCAAACAAGCGTGGGGGGGGGGGGGGGGGGTGAGGGGCCTAGAGGCGAGGGGCCGAGGGGCCGAGGTGCCGGGGGGCCAAGGGGCTGAGGGGCCGAGTGGCCAGGGGCCGAGGGGCCTAGGGACCGCGGGGCCTGGGTTGCAGGTCAAGGGTCGCGGGTCACGGGTCGCGGGTAGCGATTGGCCAAGGCTAGGGCGACGGGGCGAGTGGGCGACGGGGCGACGGGGCCTAGGGGCAGAGGGGCCTGGGTCGCTGGTCACGGGTCTTGGGTCGTGGGTCGCTGGTCGCGGGTAGGGGCAACGGGTGACAGCGCGCCAAGGGGTCGCGAGGCTAGGGGTGACGGGTCGACTGGCCGCGGGGCCGGGACCTACGCTAGGAGCGACGGGGCCGCGGGGCCAGGTACGAAGGGGCTGGGGGGCCGTGAGCGACGGGGCCTAGGGGCCGGGAACGACAGGGCCGCGGGGCCTATGACCTAGGTGCGACGGGGCCGCTGGGCCAGGTACGAAAGGGCCGGGGGGGGGGGGGGGCGTGAGCGACGGGGCCTAGGGGCCGGGAACGACGGGGCCGCAGGGCCTAGGACCTAGGTGTGACGGGGCCGCGGGGCCAGGTACGAAGGGGCCGGGGGCCGTGAGCGACTGGGCCTAGGGGCCGAGAGCGACGGGGCCGCGGGGCCAGGTCCGAAAGGGTCGGGGGCCGTGAGCGACGGGGCCTTGGGGCCGGGAACGACGGGGCCGCGAGGCCGGAGGCCTAGGTGCGATGGGGCCGCGGGGCCAGAACGAATGGCCGCGGGGCCAGAAACGAAAGGTCGCGGGGCCAAGGGGCCGGGATCGATGGGCCTAGGGGCCTGGAACGACGGGCCGCGGGCGCCGGGCCTAGGGGCGACGGGCCTAGGGGCGCGAGTGACTGGCCTAGGGGCGACGGGCCGAGGCCTAAGCTCAGGAGTAAAGCAGCAGATGGTGGGCCCAAGGAACCTACTCTGATTCCATGTTAAAGTTACGAGATAGGATGATTGATTAGGTGAAAGGGGGAGGGTACAAGTAGGATGTCGAGAGAAATACTGTACCCCCTAAGGCTAAACCCACTACAGCCTAGAGAAATATAAACACATATGTTTTGACACGCCGCTGCAGCGTCGCTCTTCTTGGACAAGGGACGTGCCCACGTGAAACGGCTCCATTCGTCCACCATGGTGAGGAAGTACAACACTCCCCCAGCCCCCTCCATCCTCATAGGACCCACCAGGTCCATGTGCACGACCTCCAATGGTGCCTTGGCCGATCCCTCCGCTCGTGGAAACGGAAACCACGCAAACTTGTTTTGCATGCACGCCTTGCAGCTGCCAACAGAAGCACCATCTCCTTGCAGTTGCAGCCCATGCACGTGTCAGAAGAATGAACGAGAATGAATGATCTATGAAAGAGTTGGGTACAAGTACTAACCCTAATTGGGTTGTACCCCTTATGGGCTACCCCACTATAGCCTACACAAATGTAAGCACTATAACATTCTGACAGCACGCACTTCTCCTTGTGCATCACCTCCAATGTAGAAACAGCCGCGTGTGCGAGCCGCCAATGCCAAGTCTCCCAATTCGCCGACGCCTTCACCGCCACGATTCCTCCAATCAGCTCATCTCCTTGCACACCATGCTGCTCCTTGGTGATACTCTCCTCCATTGATGCCGCGGCTGCCACCTTGCCCGATTTATGCCAAGGGAGGACTGTGATCTGCCAGATGCGCTTGTGGACATCTCCCTTCCGCTGCAGGTCCCAACTGAGGCGCTCGTCATTGTAGGCATGATAGCACTCCGAGCCAATCGTCTCGGTGTTCACACCCGAATCTCCCAACCGGCCAGTAGAAATCAGGTTCGCGCATAAGTCCGGCACCCATAGCACGTTCTTCAGCCCCATGAGCTCTCCATCCGCTCCTATGAACTTGGCGCATCCCATGCCCATGACCTTGTCCTTGGCGCCCGTCGCGGATGTGACGGTAGAGATGGGTGCGGGCTGAATCTCATCAAGTAGGTCGGCGTGAGGAGTCATGTTCCAAGAGCTTCCGGAGTCCATCACCCAATGGGTGAGGGGGTGTAAGAGAACCTTGGCATCCATGGCGGGGTCGGTTGCGACTTCATTCACGAAGAAGAACCCAGCCTTCCGCTCCTCAGATTTGCCGCCTTTCTCCTCATCCTTCTCCTCTCCACTAGCTCCCATGACTCCCCCACTTCTCTTGCCACCATGCTGGTTGCTTGATGAAGGCGGGGTCCAATCCTTAGGTCGTTGGTAGCACTTCCGCCAACGATGTCCACACTTCTTGCAGTAGAAGCACACCTCCCCTTGGCCGCCGCCGCTATCCTCCTTAGGGTTGTCATTGTTCTTGCCCTTCCACTTCTTCTTGAAGCCACTCTTTCCACCTCCAACTCCATAGCCAGCCCCCTCCTCCGAGCGTTCCACACTCCGCCGCCGCAAGTCCTCCTCAAGTATGCACGCCCGGATGTAATCCACACTCCATTGGGACTGTTGGGAGTTGAGGTTGATTGCAAGTGCAGACCACGACTCCGGCACCCGTATCACGATCTCCACGCATTGCACAAGCTCCGGGTACACCACGCCGCCGCCTTGGAGCTTCGTGAAGATGTCGCGCATCTCGTCCAACACGGGATGCATCGGCTCTCCATCAACAAGCTTGATGTCGCGCAGCCGCCGCGTGAGTAGCACGATGCCAGGAGCGTGTGTCGGTGAGTGCACATACAAAAGCTTCCTCCAAGCCTTGGGGCCACACTTTGGATCACCCAAGAAGTCCTTGACGTGGTCAAGTTATCGTCCTCCAACCGCTTGCACCATGAGCATGTACGCGTCGAACGATCGCTTCATCCACACTCCTTTCAGCTCCGCAGCCTCCGGTATCTTCTCCTTCCCCTCCACTAGATCCAATAGCTTGTATTGGGTGTACATCAGCCTCATGCGGAAGCTCCAGTACTCGTAGTCCTCCCCCATGAATTTCTCAATAGAGAATGCCTTCACAGGATCCACGGTTGTAGGAGATGGTGTAGAAGTTGAGGGTAGCGTTGGGTTGTGTTGAGTGATGCTACCATTCGCATTCACGTCTGTCTGCCTCCCATCATATGTTCGTGCGTTATTCAGCCCCTAATCTTCATAGACTCCGTCCTTAATCTCTAACAGGTTGGCTGGTTGGTGAGTCCCCAATCCTCCGCTAGCAACTCCCCCTTGCTCTCCAGCCTCTCTACTTCTATCCATCTCACCACTAGCACCTCCGAAATCCGTACCAGTCATATTGAGGCCTTATGAACGGTGGAAACTTGAGAAATCGTTTGGAGAGAATTCTGCCAGAAATTTCGATTCTACAAAAATCTCCGTCGCGGATTGAACACTTCGAATTAGAACGCGGTGCGACCACCAATCGAAATTTCACTAGCATAACTACTAGACAATGGTCTCACTCGTCCGTATTGGTTGAGAATCGATGACGATTCGTCGTCTCAAAGTCGACTACCCGCTCTGATACCACTTGTTGTTCAGGATCCGTCACTTTGAGAACCTACGATGAATTCATTTCTCAACTAAACGCAAATCCTCTCAGTATGTTTATGCGCCTTAGGCTTAGCTACCATCTCCAATTCGAATCATTTAGAAAGATGGTCTAGAGAGTCAGAACCATTTGAAAAAGTCCAGCAGCCGCATGACTAGAGTTGTGGAGGAAGTACAAGCATTAGGGGATAGAAAGTTGGAGTTGGGGGACTCCAAGAGAACCATGAGAGGGAAAGGGTTCTCCAAGAGCTATGGAAGGATGGTAGGAACCTTCATAGCAGCAAGGATGCAACCCTCATCATGAGGTCCTTGAGGTGTCACATGCAAAATCCAGTCTAGTTAGATTTTGCCTAGGTGTTGCAACATTTGCAACCCATGCTAGAAACTTCTAGCCATCTCAATCCAAAAGTCAAAGTTGCCTTCCCTAACCACCCAACCAAGGATCCCTTTATATTCCTGTCCAAGTAACCACCCAAATAAGATATAACCCCAAAAGGTAATAAGAAATCCAAGTCTTGGAAATCTTGTAACTTGGGCAATCTTGGTCGGAATAAGGCGATCTTGGTATCGTTGGAAAGCTCTGGATTTCTCCAGCATGATCAAGCATTTAAACTTGGAAAAAAACACAGAGATGATAATATCCAGCAGTCATGCACCATGACATATGCTCATGCAAATTATGCACACATGAATAGCACGAGCACTTGGCTGGACGTTAGGATGACATGCACTCAAACTGACGTGCATTCAACAGTTATGTCTCTCTCTCGGTCGCATTCTCTGTCTCCGTGGCTCCCTTGCTCTCTCACCGTCGCATTCGCACTCTCCGTTGCTCCCTTGCTCTCCCACCGTCGCTCCCTTGCTCTCCCACCGTCGCATTCGCTCTCTGCGTCGTTCCCTTTCTCTCCCATCGTCGCATTCGCTCTCTCTCTTCCCCCCTTCCCCTCCGTCCGATCTCCCTCGGTCGCATTCTCTCTATCCGTCCGTCCAGTGCTCTCCCTCGGTCGCATTCACTCACGTTCTCATCCTCATTGTCTGCCGCATGGTGGTCCTTGGTCGCTGCGCTCCTCCCTCCACTCCTTCCTCTCCCTCTCCCTGCCTCCTCCTCTCTTTCTTGCACTCTCTTCCTCCCATTCCCTCCTCTCTTCTCCTTGCCTCCTCCTCTCTGCCTTGATCTCTCCTCCTCCCACTCCCTCATCTACTATCCCTGCCCTCTCTACCCCCTTCCCTCTTCCCCTCCTCCCTCCTCTCATCTCCCTGCCTCATACTCTCTGCCTTGCTCTCTCCTTCCACTCCGACCTCTCCTCTCCCTTCCTCCTCCTCTCTGCCTCGCTCTCTCCCCGTCCCAGTCCCTCCTCTGCTCTCCCTGCCCTCTCTGCCCCATTCTATCCTCCCCCCCTCCCTCCTACCCTCTCCCTGCCTCTTCCTATCTGCCCTGCTCTCTCCTCTTCCCCCTCCCTCCTCTTCTCCCTCCTCTCCTCCCTCCGCTCCTCTTCCTGCCCCTTTTTATTCTCCCTCATACTTGGTTTGCTGTCTTGTTTGCAGATGGCATACAATTGTAACAACTGCTCAGCACAGGCATATTTTGACACGGTACGAGCTCTTGCTTCACTCCAGCGAAGCCAGGCGTGCAGGGCCGCGAGACTGCCTGCTGTTGCATCAACACGTGTCCCCAACCCGTACATTCTACCGCGACAACACAGAGCGGCAGTGGCGCACATCCCATCATTCAACCTTACACCCATAGTTTTGGATGATGCTCCTGTTGTGTGTGATGCTGAGGAAACAATGTATGACCTCGGAGTCATTCAAGGTTATTCACGGCCCATCAAGCAGACTAGAAGTGAGACGACCGTTTTTCCCATAATGTCGCACGCGTCGACAGTTTTGGGCGCAAAACGTACCTGTGCGACAGATGGCGACCCACGAAGTGATGCTACCCTCGATCCTGCGCCAATAGCTCCATCTAAGCGACCAACCACCTCCTCTGCCCACCAGGTCACTGACAACCACTACCTGAACTTCCTCGCATGGATGAACCACCAAGCAATCAAGCCAACTCCAACTCCAGCGCCCACTCCAGCCCCATCGGCAACACCACCCCCCCCATTGAGCGATCCTAGCGGGGGAATCATCCCCCCAATGAATGATGGAGGTACAAGTGAACTCGTAGTGTCAGGGGAGGCAAACACCACCTCCAACACACCCGTTCAGCAACGGGTTACCTCCTGTGGAGTTCCAGTAAAGCCTCGAACTAGTGAGTTCATGCATGTTTTCTTTCTTACATTGTGCAGATTGTTATGGCTCTAATTGGCATTGCAGCGAAGGCGAGCACCCCTTTTCCAATCTTGGATGGATCATGACAGCGTGCAAGGCCTTCGGTGGTGTGAAGGCGACTGCCTGGAACATCAAGCTCGTTGGAGCTGCGTACGTGTGCTATGTGGTAAGCATCATTGCATTTCTTACAAGATTAATTTCTGTATCCGTTTCTAATATTGTTTCTTTACCACAAACTTGCAGGTTGCATGGCCAATGGCCAATGCAAAAGGGAACTAAGGTTCCTGCAATGTCTGGAAACGAGCTGCTCAACACCCAAAACATGAAGAGGAAGATCGAAGAAATCATTTCATGGCTCAAGGAGTGGTACAACCTGTCAAACTTATATATAGCTTACATTGTGTAGGCTGTAGTGGGGTAGCCCATAAGGGGTACAACCCAATTAGGGTTAGTAGTTGTACCCAACTTCTGCTCAATGCATTCATTCTCGTTCATTATTCTGACATGGTTTCATAGCAGGTCCTCCGCTAGGACCGGTTTTTTTTTCTCCTTGGGCCCACCACAACGCTACCCCGCTAGCAGCCCTCTGCAGCCCTCGTGCTGCCCCTACTTCCTGTCGCGACCCGTAGGCCCCTAGGCCCCGGCCCGTCGTCACCCCTAGCCCGGCCCGTCGCCCCTAGGCCCGTCGCCCCTTGGCGTCGCCCGTCGCCCCTAGCCCGGCCCCCCGTCGCCCGTCGCCCGTCGCGACCCCCGTCGCCCGTCGCCCGTCGCGACCTCCGTTGCTTGTCGCTCGTCGCGACCCCCGTCGCCCGTCGCGACCTGTCGCCCGTTGCAACCCGTCGCCCCGGCCCGTTGCCCCGGCCCGTCGACCCCCGACCAATCGCCCTAGGCCCGTCGCCCCTAGCCTAGGCTCAGGCCCCGCGGCCCGTCGCCCGTCGCCCCTAGCCTAGGCCCCGTCCCCACGGCCCCTCGCGACCCGTCACCCCTAGCCTAGGCCCAGGCCCCGCGGCCCGTCGCCCGTCGCCCCTAGCCTAGGCCCCCCGGCCCCTCGGCCCTCGGCCCCTTTGTTCCTGGCCCTGCGGCCCTTAACACCTAGGCCCCCGGCCCCTCGGCCCCTTCGCCCCTGGCCCCGTGGCCCCGTCACCCTAGGCCCCCAACCCCTCGGCCCCTTCTCACTTGGCCCCGCGGCCCGACGCCCCCAGTCCCCCGGCCCCTCGGCCCCTTCTCTCCTGGCCCCGCGGCCCGACACCCCTAGGCCCCCGGCCCCTCGGCCCCTTCTCTCCTGGCCCCGCGTCCCGACGCCTTTAGGCCCCCGGCCCCTTGGCCCCCCTTCTCTCCTGGCCCCGCGGCCCGACGCCCCTAGGCCCCCGGCCCCTCGGCCCCTTCGTCCCTTGCCCCACGGCCCGACGCCCCTAGGCCTCCGGCCCCTCGGCCCCTTTGCTGCTACTACTACTGCTACTACTGCTACTGCTACTGCTGCTACTGCTACTGCTGCTACTGCTGCTCCTGCGTGCTGCGCCACTATGGCTTCGCTTTGAATTCTCGCGTTCGATCTGTTAGAATATACTTATATATTCTTTATAACTGTCTGTAGTGTACACTGTAGTGTATCTCACTTGCTGTAGGTGGTGTACCATCTGGCTTTCTTCTTGCCTATATCCTTGTACTGTTTCTCATTATTGAACACTTCTTCCTTCTCGAATTTCCTCACCCAAACTCTCTCGACACTCAACCCTAGCATGGCTCCTATGCCTCTTAAGCCTACACCTAGTTTCCTAGGTGCTTAGTGTTCTAACATGGTATTAGAGTAGTTTCGACCTTTTTGGGCTCACCACCTACTTCCCTGCTAGCCTAGGCCCCAGCCCGTCGCCCCTAGGCCCCGTCGCCTCGGCCCCTCGGCCCCGTCGCTCCTAGCCGCGGCCCCTAGGCCCCGTCGTCTCGGCCCCTCGCGACCGTAGGCCCGTCGCCCCGTCGCCTCGGCCCCTTGGCCCCATCACCCCTAGCCGCGGTCCCTAGGCCCCGTCGCCCCCAGCTGCGGCCCCTCGCGACCCTAGGCCTCTTCGCCTTGGCCCCTTGGCCCCGTCGCCCCTAGCCGCTGCCCCTAGGCCCGTCGCCCCGTCGCTTCGGCCCCTTGGCCTCGTCACCCCTAGCCGCGGCCCCTAGGCCCCGCCGCCCCCAGCTGCGGCCCCTCGCGACCCTAGGCCCCGTCACCTTGGCCCCTTGGCCCCGTCGCCCCTAGCCGCGGCCCTCGTCGACCCGTCGCCCCGTCGCCCCTAGCTACGGCCCCTCGCGACCTGCCGCCCCTAACCGCGGCCCTGTCGCCTCTAGCCTCGGCCCCTCGCGACCTGTCGCCCCTAGCCGCGGCCCCGGTGCCCCGTCGCATCATGGAGGGTAAGGGGGTGGCAAGTGGGGTGACGGTTTCTTCCTGCCCGCGTGCCCTGCAGTCGCACGCGCAGCTCCGCCCCCGCCCCCCTTCCCCCCCTCCTCCCCCTCCATGGGGACGGGGGGGAGAGGGTGTGAAGGGGTGGCGGATGTGCCTCAGCAGCAGCAGCTGCCGCCACGCCTCCTCCTCTCTCTCTCCCTGCCGCACCTTGTGTTGGGAGGGGGGGGGGAGCTTTGAGGTTCAGGGGGAGGCAGGAGGGGATCTGCAGCACCAGCCCCACCCGCCCCCCCTTTCTCCTCCATCCCTGGGGGGTGAAGGATTGTGGAGCAGCAGTGGGGGGGAGGGGATCTGCAGCACCAGCCCCCCCGCCCCCGCTTCTCCTCCATCCCCCTGCTGCGGGTGCAGCAGTGGGGGGGGGGTATGGGGGTGGCGGGATCTTGGAGGTTAAGGGGGTGGCAGGAATGGATCTGCAGCACCAGCCCCCCCCGCCCCCCCCTTCTCCTCCATCCCCCTGCTGCAGGTGCAGCAGTGGGGGGGAGGGGATCTGCAGCACCAGCCCCCCCCGCCCCCCCCGCCCCCTCTCCTCCATCCCCCTGCTCCGGGTGCAGCAGTGGGGGGAGGGGATCTGCAGCACCAGCCCCCCCGCCCCCCCCCAGTTCCTCCATCCCCCTGCTGCGGGTGCAGCAGTGGGGGGGAGGGGATCTACAGCACTAGCCCCCCCCCCACCCCCCCCCCCCCCCTCCTTCTCCTCCATCCCCCTGCTGCGGGTGCAGCAGTGGGGGGAGGGGATCTGCAGCACCAGGCCCCCCGCCCCCCCCCCCCTGTTCCTCCATCCCCCTGCTGCGGGTGCAGCAGTGGGGGGGAGGGTATGGGGGTGGTGGGTGTGAGTGAACTACAGCCACCTCTCCTCTCTCTCCCACTGCTGCACATGTCGCTGTGGGGGGGGTGGGGGGGGGAGGGTGTGGGGGAGATGTGGGAGTGGCGGTAGGGGTGCTGAGGGGTGTGAAAGGGTTGGGACAATGGGGGAAGTTGAAGGGGGGTGTACGCCGTGAAGCCAGCAGCTCCAGTCGCCCGTGAGACCGTTGCACCAGTTGCCCGTGAGCCCGTTGCTCCTGTAGCCCGTGAGTCCGTTGCTCTAGCCGCTCGCTTAGCCGCGGAGCATGTTACTCCAGTTGCCCGTGTGCCAGTTGCTCCATTTGCCAGTGTGCCAGTTGCTCCAGTTGCCCGTGTGCCAGCAGCTTCAGCCGCCACCCTCCTCTCCTCTCATGGTCCCTCCTCCTCTTCACTTGCCCTCTCCTTCCTCCGCTGCGCTTAGTGTACCCCTGCTGGGGGTGTTGTGCACAAGGTTCTTCACCACAGGCAGTTAGGGGGTGTGTTAGAATATACTTATATATTCTTTATAACTGTCTGTAGTGTAGATTGTAGTGTATCTCACTTGCTGTAGGTGGTGTACCATCTGGCTTTCTTCTTGCCTATATCCTTGTACTGTTTCTCATTATTGAACACTTCTTCCTTCTCGACTTTCCTCACCCAAACTCTCTCGACACTCAACCCTAGCATGGCTCCTATGCCTCCTAAGCCTACACCTAGTTTCCTAGGTGCTTAGTGTTCTGACACGATCATGAGGGCAGACCGGTTCAGTTTGACACGTGGCTCAACGACTTGCAGCTGTACCTACTGAGCGATTATAAGGACAGTGTGTTGCTGTTTGACCGCGCGTCAGGTGCCGCTACCGCCCCTCCCGCCACAGCTGACAGTGCGACTCACTCAGAGGGGCTTAGTCGCGACGCTGCTGCCCGCTTAGCCATTCGCAACCACCTGCCACTAGCCAAATGCGCTCACTTCGGACAGCACAGGACAGCACAGGACCTGTACGACGCTATAGTCGCTCGCTACTCCTCGCCTGCCACTGCTACTCTAGGCCGACTGCTACTTCCCTACCTGTTCCCCGAGCTGTCAGCTTTTGCCACAGTAGAGGACCTGGTTTCCCACCTGCGCACAAGCGATGCTCGCTACCGCGCTACCGTCCCTGCTGAGTTCCTTGACAGGAACCAGCCCCCGATGTTCATCACCCTCTACTTCATAGTCACTTGCCTCCCTAACTCTCTTTGCTCAATCAGGGACCACTTTCTCTCCCTTGACCCCACCTCCCTCACTGTTGACCTCCTCAAGCAGCATCTCATCGCAGCTGAGACTAGTGTAGTTGCTGTAGGTGCTGCTCGTGGCACTCCGCGCCCGCCCTTCTTTGAGGGGTGCTCCCCCTCCCCCCTTGCCTCCTCCTACGCCTCTGCTGCTGCTGCAGACGTCTCCGTTGCTGAGGACGTCGGGGCTGCTTCTGCTGGTGCAAAGCGCCGCAGCAGCAAGGGCAAGGGTGGCAGGGGTGGTGGAGGTGGCAGCGGTGGTGGTGGAGGTGGCAGCGGGAGTGGTGGTGGGGGCAGCAGTGGAGGTGGTTGAGGCAGTGGAGGTGGTGGCGGCGGTGGGACTGGTGGCGGGAGTGGGGGCTCTGGTGGCGGCGGTGGAGGCAGCGGTGGGAGTGGCGGCAGTGGAGGCGGTGGGACTGGAGGCGGTAGGATTGGACCTCGGCGTGGAGGCCCTGGTGGTGGCCAGCGGCAGCAGCAGCAGCGTCCGAGCAAGACCCAGTCGCCCCAGCACCTCCGTGAGTGGTTGTTTCACCGTGGGACGTCTGGGGGTAGTTATAGCTACCCGTATGTTATTTGCACGGGTGTCCGTGCTGGTCAGACATGCGGGAAGCTTCACACTCAGCACCGCTGCTTCTCCCGCCTTGACGACGCCTGGCGTGCTGAGTTTGGTGACGAGGTCGAGCGCCCTCGCTGGGCAGATTTGCTTAGGTCTGGAGTTGCTATCTTTGACCTAGACTATGATGCTATTCTTTCTGCTATGTATGCTTTGTCTGCTAGTGCTGAGATTGACTGTTACCGGTGTGTGCCACCTGACCCTGGTATAGCGGCTGCTGCTCTAGGTGCTAGTGCGTCTGGTACTCTCCCTGGAACTGCGCCTGCTGAGGCCTTGCACACCTTCACGTTGGACTCAGGCGCCTCGCGCTGTTTCTTTCGTGACAGCACCACCCTCACTCCTATCCCTGCACCTGTCCCGCTCAGACTGGCTGACCCCTCCGGGGGCCCGGTCGTTGCCCATTCCTCCACTGTCCTCCCGTGTCCGGCGGTTCTGTCCGGCTCACTGTCAGGTCTTCACCTCTCCTCGTTCTCTACGAACTTGGTGAGTACCGCTGCCCTCCAGGACGCGATGGTCACTACCACCACTCCTGAGGGTCAGCGTGTGTCGATCTGCACGTGCACACGGACGGGGCGTCACCTGGCCACGTTCACTCGTCCGCCAGGGTCGAGTCTATACACACTGGCTACCGAGCCTCCTCAGGTAGCTGCGTCTGCTCAGGTGTCCGCGTCAGGTCAGGTAGCCGCCTCTAGCTCGTGTCGCCTCCTGTCGCACCAGACTCTTCTGTGGCACCACCGCCTGGGTCACCCCTCCTTGCCACGCCTTCGTGGCATGCACTCCCGTCTTCTTGTCTCTGGTCTACCCAGGTCTCTGCCTCCCCTGCCGCCCTCGCCTGCCCCGCCCTGCCTTCCTTGCGTCGAGGGGCGGCAGCGCGCCGCTCCTCACTCCTCCTCGTTTCCCCCGACGTCTGCTTCCCAGCAGACTCTCCACATGGACGTGTGGGGCCCAGCCCGCGTCAGTGGACAGGGCCGCGAGCGCTACTTATTGCTGGTTGTTGACGACTACACGCGGTACACCACGGTCTTCCCCTTGCGCAGCAAGGGTCAGGTCGTTGATGTCTTGATCCCTTGGATCCGCACAGTCCGTCTCCAGCTCCGCGAGCTGTTCTGCTAGTACCTTCCTGTCCTGCGTCTGCACTCTGATAGAGGTGGTGAGTTCTCCTCCGACCTCT